GTAGCCGAAATCACAAGAATAAGAAGAATACGGATACAAAGTGTATAAATAAACATAGTTAAGATCGATGTGTATTTATGTTTTGGGAAGTAATACTGCAGAGTAAAACAGCTGTTATAATTACCAGTAATCATAGTCAAGATAAAAGAGGTTATGTAAAGATAGCGAAATTAATAAATGATTGCGTAATCGCTCAAGATAATATAATAAACAAATATGTGAACATTAGTATGACTATGTGAGGGATGAATATCAAAGGACGAAATAAGAACCAAGACAAAAGGTTTCAGATGTGGTTGGAAAAAGATGAAAAGTTAATATTAACAAAGGTTATTAGATGAACCCCCGATCAATATGGCAGGGAAAGGCTAATCACAAGTTCCTTTTGTTGACATAGGTCAGGTCTGAAACGTTTGATAGCAGTCGCCTCTGCAAAACGGAGTAAGATTGATGTTATTTGTCTGTTAATTGTTTTGAATGAATTAATTACATCCACTTCTTGTCCACTATCCAAAAGTTGCACTTCTAACGACCTTACTCCGTTTAAGTCGTAGGTTCCTAGGAATATGTTTAGAAAACAATGTATAGGCCCTTCTTAATATGTACTTGCTACATCAAAAGATACCATGAATTCATCTGATATATTTAGATCATCTGTTTCTTTGGAAAACCCAAATGCATAACTTAGACTATAGGACGCTGGTGTTCTAATAATTTACATTTTATACACAAAACAGAGTTTTTGTTGGAGGTACACCAGCAAATAAAGAGTTAGCATCAAATGAGAATAACTTCGTCAAGACTATCAGTATTCATGATACCTTTAACAAACTGATATGTCGTAGACAGTACTGTACGATCATATGACATAGCCATCTAGCCAACTCTGATTTGACAAAACTGAAAGTTAAGCATGTCCAAATTTGAATAAAAGAATACTTTCAGTAATCAAGCTTATGAGAAGCATAAGTTCATATAAATCGGAAGTAATCAATGAATTATCCTTTGTGTTTTCTTAAAAGAAACTGAGATTTGCTACCCAATCCATTGTTTTGTTCAGTTCTCTTTTCGGTCTTAGTAAACTTAGTTCGATCGATCACTTAGACTAAGCCACGTTAGTAGGTGCGAACTACCTGGATGTGGTCGGAGCGAGACGTTGAGTGAAATGACTCAGAATCGGGTGCAGTGGTGTGGAGGCAGCAGCTCTTTATCTCCATTTACATTTTGAGTTTTAAGATTATACCATACTTTTTATCTCACGGATTCGTTCCTTCTTCTTGTATAATACTGTTTATGCCTAAACTTTTCTACTAGCACCGATTCTGTTCACTTCTACTAAGCTAGCATTTATTTTGATCATTTCATCTCGCTGTGCTAATATTGTGTGAACCGATGCATATATGTCTCAGATTCTATGTTGCTTATGACTGGGTTTGATCGGTAGGAATCACTAAGTTTCTTTGAATGATTCCTCAGGGTATAGTAAAACGAATCAACATTAAGATTACACCATTGTTATTTCACGGAGGTTTGTGCTATTCAAAATGAACAAGCTATTATAATTTATCGTTTAGATTACAGAATGGTTTTTGGCTAGATGACTACTGAAAACCACAGAGTACTGTTTATATATTTGGCATAGTTCGTTGAATTTTCAGGTGATATTTAGAAAATTTGGACCCGATGAGAAAACCTGTAATTGGATTGGTGAAAATGTAATTAGACAGTGATCGAACATATATTTCTCAGGATCATTAGCGTAATTTATTTTTATCATTGAAAATTTCAAGGTGCTTAAGATTGTTTTACCTCGACAACAGAAGTATAATCTACGGAACACTCTCATCTTTCTAACTGTAGATCACACAGACAATGACCTCCCAAGAGACATATTGCTCTGCAGCTCCATGACTTGGATTTGAATAGCATTGATTAATTGCATCATATGACGTGTTATCAATATCTCACTACCAAACTATTACGAACATTTGTTTGCATTTATTCAAAGAATTAAGCTTTTAATATATATATACCTTAATACTCGATAACAACTTTGTCAGGTTTATTTCTGTAAACATTTTATGAAGCTTATTCTAAAAGCCATTTCCCTATTTTTAATATTTTATAGTTGAGCAACAACAAATGAGATTGTGATTGACTGATGATGAATTGTCATTTACATTAAACCCGTTCAGCATTGTCCAATAACTTACGAACTTAATCACATAAACGGGATAAAAGTGAACAATTAGTTTCGGTGTGCAGATTAACAGCCTTTCTATCATTTGGTTAGTAATTTTGTCAAATTTTTCCTGGGCTACTCAATCGAACATTTCACCATCATCCATACAGTCAACTCTAAACTATTGTTACGTGATTATCTATATTGCAACACTAATATACACTCCACTAAGAGGCTACTATATGAAACATCGCGGACCCCACTATGCTAGTGCGTTAAATTGAGAGTATCACAAAAAACAGAAGTTAATAACCATCAGTCGTGAGTTTGACTCTCATGTTTAATTACTAACTAGTCAAATGGTAAGTGATTTTTACAGCTACATTATTTTCCTAGGTACCTTGTACATACATTAAACTTCAATTACCTAATACACTCTTAAATATTCGCACACTTAATCAATTATCCAGAGATTTTGTGCTTCGAAATTTACAATTTTGGTAAATTATCAGTCTGACCACCTCAAACAATCTAGTAACGGTAAAAACTATTTCTGGAATCACATCAGAAAGTGTTAATATATCTTTAGCGTTTTCATCATCTAGCTAAATAGGTTCTGGTATTGCTTTGATTAAGCATCCAAAGTGAGAAATATCCTCGGATCAAAACATAATATCTAAGTGTGCTATAAAGGGAGTATCACCCTTTCATTGAGCCAGTCTATTGATACCTGGTCGAGATATGATATATTTGATCCCATAACCTCATTTACTTCGATAGTCGAGGAAACGAATGATATTTCTCTCCATCCATGAAGTAGATTCCTGATAAAAGTAAACAGTTGACAAGGGGCATTTGAGGAAGACATTTTATCCTAGTTTATTCATTGCCATTTAAGAGGACAATATGCAGGATATTGTTGAACTGAATCTGGTCTAAGACTGTCTATTAGGTTACCATACCAAACAACATTCCTCAGGCCCGGTTAGCTAAGACTGGAGGTACATATGGAAGAAATGAACATAGAGAGGAAAGACTGATAGTAGGGGTAAGAGGTGAAGTTGCTGATAAATATAATAAACCCGAATGCTACTAGAAGTGTCTAGGTGGCTATTAATTTCTTTGTCTATACCATAGAATATAATATCACGACAAAAACAAGGAAAATTGAATCAAAATTGATAATCTCGTCGATTTCAAAACGTGACTGCAGTCCTCAAGGGATAATGGCCTGCAGCAGATCGCATATGATCTCTAAGAATGAGTGATTTTATCCCAGTGCTTTAGAGAACTTGCTGTCAGTGCTGTGATTATATTGAGATCAAAGGGCGGTATTTCGAGGTGGATTTTAATTAACCGCTTACCTAATGCGTGATGAGGTCCCGTTACTAAAGATGCAATCTACTTAATATTTTACTACCATCACAGTCGAGTATATTCAACAGTACAAGTTCACTTTCGAAACTGAAATATGCTGCTCTTAGCTTTATTACCTCCCAAATAACCACATCATGATTTTTAGGACACTAAGAGAAAAACGCGCATCTACAAACATAACTCAGCTGGGTCACTACGATGGATAATCAAGAACACCACATCAAGAGTATCATCTGCAGCTAAGTGTGAATTCAATATGCTGAAATCTTTATGCAATAGTGAATATTCATTTTATTTTCAAATAGTGAACCAAAACTAAGTGCCCCCCAAAACCCCTGGTACGGTCGAGGGTGTGGAGAGTCCGCTCTCCTTCACGAAATGCTCTCACATGGCCATGCGTATACAGCCACTGCCAGGGAAGCCCTACTCACTGCCTTACCGAGGCGGGGACGTTAAGAAATTGAAAGGACAAAAAACGAAAGCCTGGCGCTGTACCTGGATCGGTGGGTACTGAGGGTTCACCTAAGGGAGTCGGAAAACCCTGATTCCAAACCAATGGTGCACATGGGCTCCAGGATCCTGACGGAACAAATGGCGTATGAAACAATCGTTGGTCACCGGCTACCATGGGACTGCATCTCCTGATGTGGCTCCACTGCCTTGTGGATCAGATCTTTAGGTCGACGGCTCCGGGTATGGCCTCCTGAGAAACCGCCTGTTACGATCCGGGCAGTATCACAGCCCACACACAAATCAAGTGACTTGTGTGGCGCATATGTATTCGGTTCCCCTTTGTACCAATATCTATGTGTTCAAATAAATAAATAAATAACACCCAACATAGAACTAAAAATGAGAAACTACAAAACTGAGAAACATAAACACAGCCAATTTAAATAACGATAACAATTATAACAGCAATGTCAGTTAAAGTCTTTTAACTACAAAAGAAAATTTCCATTAAATTGATGAAATGGAATTTCCCATTCCTATTACATATATTTACATACAAGTTAAACTCAATAAAAACCATACTTAGAAAGTATTACTAGTTACAAAGAAAGCTAAAGTAAAAGTCTACAGAGTCAACAGAATTATTCACAATTCACTTTAGACTGGGTACTGGATTATTATTGAAACCTCGTGCAACAAAAAACACACTTCAAAATCGGATTCATATAAAGCTCCACATTAACATTATGTACGATGGTTAGTTAGAATAATCAAAGAACAATTTTCAGTTTTGTCATAGGTGGAAGTGAAAATAAACCCATGAACTTGAGATTACCCGCTTCGAAGATAAAGGGGTTTTCCAAAAAGACAACCACTATATTACTGTGTCGTAAAGTTTACTTGGAGACTATAGATAAAGCAGACTAACAGTAAAACTTTACACCTTCATCTTCCATTATTTCAGCTTGACCTCGTTTTTGAAGGACAGTTAATGCATTTGTTAAGACAGATACATCTAAACCATGAAAAGCTTCTTGCTTTGTATCGTCACCGTCAGTCAACTCGTAAAATGTGCAAACTGAATTTCCGTGACCAGTGGATCGGGCCCACCTCGCTATAATATCAGCCCATTCTTCAGGAGTCCGCCATATAATCTTGGCATTGGTATGAGACCTAAAGGTTGGAATAAAAGTCAAGTATATTTTGTCAGTGTAGAAATCATTTACCATTGACCAACAGAGCAAGTTAAATGTTGAAATACTGCCTATACATTAGGTTTACGGGAGCCTAATAATGACAACTAATGATACGTTACTGTGAAAATCGGTTAATTATCAAGTATTCTGTATAGAAAAACTTAATAAATTTTATTTTGATAAGAAACCAGCGTCTAAATATTTTATCTTGGTCTATTTATAGTTAGAGTACGGCGAATCAGATAAAGCCTCATCAATAGAATCGTACCAAAATCAGGGAAAGGTCACTGATAAATAAAAATTTACAGTAGTCCTTACTTTATATATTATATTATTGCAATGTAATCAATCGATAAAGAACAGATCTAACAGACATGGGGATCTAGGCAGGAACTTTTTGATCAGAAACTTGCAATACTAACTAGTGTTGGGGATGGTTGGAAGAAAGTTAGGGGCGGTCAGGCCAAAACGTGGCATCAGTGCTTAAAGTCACTAACTTCTAGCCTTAGCCATGTTGGTAGATGCGGAGTACTTGCTTGAGGTCCGCGCAACTCTGGCCCAGAATCGATCACAATGGCGTAGGTGTATACACTCTGTCTTCCCTTAAACCATGAGATTAAAGTCGACTTATATCTTTTCTCCTACCAACTAATTCTTTCTTCCTGTACTCTATCCTTATGTCCAATCTTTCTTTTATGCATAACCACCAATTGCTACAATAATCACATCTTTTCGTCTTCAAAACTGCGCTAACCAACACTACTGGTAGTATTTATATATTTCAATGCAACATCGGCGTCCTGCTTATGTGATCCAAGACATGGCGAGTCCCGATCAGTGCTGCTCCATCCAAATAAACATAGAAAATAGGTACTAAGAATCTTAAAAGTGTATAGGTATTAAGACAAGCTTTTATAATTTTAGTGAGACTTGAATAGGAAAGTTCTTTACAGGTCGCAAGGCCCTATATAAAAAGCCACTTGGATTTTGTGAAGAGTACATAGGTTACTTTAAAAATTACTTTTTCATTGCAATACTACAAATTACAGGGCGACTGAATTGTAGTGTAAAGAATTCCGAGAACGATTTTAAACCTTACTTGTCACTTCTTAAAACTATAATAGGACAAAACCATACGAAATTGAAACCCGACAACGAACAGAATCCCTAAGGATACAAATCCTATCACCCAGCAGTCAACTTGAAAACAAATACCAGAGACGGCGTCCGCATTTTCGGTTACCTCATTCAGAACACCAGACACACACGGAAGCAAGCAAAAAAAGGATAACACATGTACGCTGTTTTCGAGTTTCTGTATGTGCTATAATTAAAATACCTATGTTGCTTTAATCAAAGTTAAGTTGCTACGGAGAAAGAGAAATAATCTCACTAGATGTTTACTAGATATTTATGAATCTATAGAAGTAGAAGTTGACCCGGAGATCAACTGGCCTAGGAAAATAACTAAGTAATTACCTGTCAACCCACTCAAGATTACCACGCTTATGCAATTCAGTCAAAATGAGGTCGATCAATTCTGGGCTTGCTGAGCGCTGAATACTTTTGTTATTAAAGAGAGGACAGGAGGGATCACGAATACTTGCAACACTCAGTGAGAATTGCTTTTTACTTTGAAAATAATTAAGGACTAACTGACACCACGCATTTATTTGTTTGCGACGGGTCTCAGCATTTGGTTGAAGAGTGAAGAAGGGCGGGAACTTGTATTGCCATGGCCAAATAATATCATTGTCCGACGTCAAGGACATTAAGGCCAAGAATCGAATTCTTCAACGAAATCGTAACCTTAATATTCAAGGTTCAACATCTTTTCGACTGATGGTTAAATAAATCACTTATATCAGCATGCTTCTTGTAACACAAAAGCAGTCCTTGAAAATTTACAAGTCTAATTTTTTTATTCTACCCGGATAACTTCTAGATGCAGTGCATTCGCCATGAGCTTATTCTGCAGGTTGATGAATTATAGATTCAGATTTGTGTAGTAAGGACAGAAGGCCTACAGCCTATGTTATTCCTCTTCTAATATGCTTCTGTGAGTGTCCAGTCTTCTCTTGAAAAAGTCAATTGAAGGTGCGGACACCAGTGCAGGCAGCAATTTCCAAGTATTGATGACTCGGTGTGAAAACATGTATGCCACGGGTATTTTGTTCGTTCTTGGCTTTTCTACTCGCCTGCTATGTCCTCTGAGATGTCCCGATCTAGTGGAAAGAAAAAGAGAGAATAAGTCAGGTCCGAAATCATTACTCAGTGTTCTGTACATCAAAATTAGGTCTTCCCTTAGTCTGCGATATTACAGAGTAAAGAGGTCCAGCTTTTCAAGCCACTATTTGTATGGTAAACCCCGGAGTTCTGGAAATGCACGGGTAGCTGCCTTCTTTACTTCTTCTAGGATATCCGAGTTGCCTTTTAAACAGGGGCTTGCAGCCTGAGCGCATTCCTCAAGCTTAGTTCTCACTAAGGATGCGTAACCTGTGGTGAACATGGAAGTATCTAACTTAGAGAATGTCCGTTTTAAAGCCCAGAGGGTTCGAAACCCCTTGGCTGCGACCTCCCGGCAATTGACCGTCGTCGGAAGATCATGACTCACCGTTATCCCTAGATCCTTATGAGACCGGACCACGGGTAATGGAACTTTCCCTATGTTCTACCTATTAACCTTTGAGTCCCCAAAGTGCATGTAGACACACTTTTCCGAGTTGATAGGCACCAGCCACTCTTTAGACCAGTTAATCATATTAGTTAAGTCTGCCTGAAGAGCACATGCCTCTGCGTCTCCAGTTATTACTCGCCAGATCTTTACATCGTCAGCGTATAATAACATTCCCGAATTTTTGTTACACACTTGTTACTTACCGGTCTGTAGCGTTCCATCGTACCTGCTATGCCAAGGCGGATGGCAACATTTCAACATTTCTTCATTTGTCTTAGTAAACGCCGAATATCACGGCCTGTCCAGGGATGTCCGTGCTTCTTCTTCTTTGGGACTGTCCAGGGTATGTATGGTTGAGTTACCCGATTGTATAACTGACTGAAAAGAGTCCATGCCCCTTGAACTGATGCCCTTGAGTCAATTTCCCAGTTTTCAGCCGATGCTGAGGAGTTGATTGCCTCCATGTCTGCCTTCCATATATCAGGATGGGCCGGCGCAATTGTTTGGCAGGCAATCTCGGACATGAATTTGAATGAGATGACTGGATGGTCACACTTCCCTAGTGGTGGGAGAAAAGTCACCTGACCAACATCATCGCCGTATGTGAAGACTAGATCTATAAGTGAAGAGTTTCTTAAGTCGTACCATTGACTTGAGCTCCGCCATTTTATCTAGTAGGCTGCGAGCATTTATGTAGCATACCTTTAAGTCTGTGGAGGACTTTCCCTTACTACCCAGAGTGGTTCGGGGATCGTTTTGCTCCGAAGATTTACAATTTGAAAACCCTTAATAACGAGGTTTCTTTCACTGTTTCGGCGACGATCATTTATTTCCACTTCCGCAGCTCGTCCCTTAATACGATCAGCTAGGCTGAGATCCTCACGGACATATATTCCGGACCCAATCAGTTTACGTGAGTTATCTAGCATCAGGTTCCTTTCTTCAACTGTGGCAAATGTAACCTTCAAGAAGCGATTTTTCTGAGGACTTTCAGGATTCAAGTTTTGTCCTATTCCATAAAACTCACAAATACTAACTCCTGAGAGAGAGACTGTCCTTAGTCCTTCAGAGTATGTCAAATTCTCTCGCAAATGACTCCTGGAGAGTCGCTCGTACCAACCCAGCCGGCGGGAGTTCCAAGATTAAACTACTCCTAAGGAGTAGGTGTCTACAGTCTGTTCTGCTGTGTTGTGTCACCAGTTTCTGGGTGTTGCCCTGAAGATTTGTATTGGAACTAGGCTTAAGTAGGTGCTTAAGCGGATGTTTAGAAGCACTTATGATGCTTAAGGTCATCAAAACGTCACGTCTGAGACGCCTGTACTCTAATGGGTAAGAATTCTGCGGTTGGAGGCGCTCTTCATAAGACTAGAATTTGAATGTTCAAATCGATTTCATGCCTCGCTGTTGAATACGTTCCGGAGTGTTCTTATCCTTTTGGAGTGAGGGAGGAGGTACTATGTTGCTGTACTCTAACTGGGGACGAATAAAACTGTTGAAGATTATGTGAAAAGTTCGTCCGTCGAACTAACTGAAAATGCGTTTCGATGTTACCGGTGCAAGGTTTGCTCGAGAGGCGATTTTGTCGCAGTTAGCGTAGACATCAAATGATAGGGTACCAGCACCCCTAGATCCTTTTTAACTTGGGGTACCTCTTGAGGGGAGCTGCCTAAACTGCATTCGTAGTCCGCATCATGTCTCAGATATACTACTTTACACTTTGAAGTCCGTTGTCATCTGTCGAGTCAGATCCTCATAGAGTGCTGGTTTACCGTCTTGGTTTCGTACTTCTCTTCAGTTTCACATCGTCAGTGAAAAGTAATAAGTCTGACCCTACCTGTTGTGATAGACCGTTTACATAGATCAAGAGAAGAGGTTCTAGCACTGAACACTGGGTTAACACACAAGGCTATTTCATAGAGTGAGAGAAAGTAAAGTTAACCCTCGCCTTAAAATGTTGGTTTTTTAAGTATAGAGTGCGCTAATTAATTAGAGGTAATATTATAAATAGTCGTTTGAGCTTATTGATAAGACATGTATGGTTGATGCTATCAAAACCGTGCTGTGGGTGTGAACAGAAGTTTATGGATAGTAAGTAGTTCTGTAGACCATCCAAAACCAGAGAATCCGTAATTTTTGAGATTATTGAGAGATGTGCTACAGGTTGGCAGCTAGAGGACATCACGCAAAGCGGTGTTGCAAACACTGAAGCTGCTTTCTTCAGTGTAGCAGAATGAACCACATCTGAACCAGGAGAAGTCTGCTGTTTCCGGTACGCCAAGTCAGCGCTCAAGTTCACTTCTGAGAGTCCTGCTGAGTTTCAGGTGAAGTTCTTATCAATATATCGCTAGCATGAGTCGGTTGAAATGTCTGAGAGTACTGTTCTGACAGAAGGTCAGTGGTATCACTGTCAGTGTTTGTCGGGCCAATGGGAACTGACAACTGGAAAACTCTGGTTTTGGCTTGTGGAGGAGAGCTGAATGAAGAAATGAGCTTTTCGTACTGGAGACAAATTTAGTGGTCAGGTTTATTTGATACCGAAACTCGTTTTCTCTTATTGTCTCTGTGCATTGTTCCCTCAATTGTTTTCTATTGTTACAAATTGGTTTTCATCCCGCCTAGTAGTACATTTCTTAAAGATCTCAGATTTCGTGTAGGTTTTGGCGATCGTTTACGGAACAGACTGCTTTGTAGGCACATTAAGAAATCCAAATGAGCGTACACGTCACGTTGAGGGTCAGTTTTCTAATCCACCTGCTGTAGAATGTCCTGCAAAGATGACACATTCAAACACTTGAAATTCCGGCACCTGTTGTCGCTAGGATTTCTTAGATCAGTTTTGCTGATAAAACTGAAGGCTATGACGGCGTGATCGCTTTCCCCTAGAAGAAGCCAGGATTGGGAGGCCGTCAATGGGGAATTCTTCGATTGTAAATACTCATTCTAAGCGCGACGGTGCCTGACAGTTTCTTCGACGAGTTGCTGAATTGACGTTTCCGAATAATCACAAAATTTCAATTAGGTTGAAAAATCGAGCTTCAGCAGAGTTGTCGCCTCCAACGTACGTATGTTCAGCGAAATTGACTTAAGGAAGATTGAATTCTTCTAGAATCAGGATATGAGTGAATCCGAGACAAATCAAGGTGTTAATCAATCTTACCAAGCACCATACAGCTACATCAAGATTCACAAACTCTTGATTTTGCACTTGATGTACTTCCAAGCAAGATCGCAGGTACGAGGCTACACCGTTCCGTCTATCTCAGCTATTCTGTTGTTTCGAAACAAATACATCACAGGTATTGCTAGCTGAGTCACAGAAATAGTCGAACTTGATAGTCACTCAAGCGCATGCATGAGGCGAACCATGCAACATGCAAAAGAAGTGTCGACGACATAAAATCCGCCCGATTAAGCAAGCGTTACCTGTGGAAGTTTCACAATATAATTTCCGTATCTGTGTCAGTCGGTTTCATTTAAGCCGATCTGTTACAGTAAAGTCCATAACTTGAAAGCTATTCACTGGACTTATCCTTGAAAAACCATCTGAGACCATACGGTTATTTAGTAAAACTAGGCTAAAATGTATCGTCGATTTCCCTGAATTTCAGTGAGGTACTTGTCAGATAGCGGGTTAAGAGCAAAAGATTAAACTTCACGAACGGTTAAAATCCTTATATTTAAGGCAGTGTTGAAACTATGGTATAACAAAACGCATGATCCGGAGTTTTATTCACGAGGCCACCATACTTGGATTTATTATCTAATAATTATCTCTATAGGTTAGGGAGGAGTCATCAAATGCTGTTGACGAAATTAGACTGTCAGAAACTTAGACGTCTGTTTGGTAATACTGGAGTTCAGCTAATCTATTTGCCAAATGTAAAAGGCTGGTGTAGAAGGTTTATTATCTAGAGTTAAGTGACATATTGCGTACACTGCTACGACGGTGTATCCAGTAAATATTTAAGTGGGAGCTGTTTGTGTACTTGCGAAAAATTTATCCACAGTATATCGCCATACGAAGCATGAATATATATGGTTTTGAGTGCCACTTCACGGGATATGACATAAGACCAATCTCTTTGGAAGTAACAGCAAAATGTTATTAGGTATCATAGACATAGCGAATAATCACATGACGCAGTCATGAGACTAACCCGTGGTACATCAACATCTACGTAATGAATATTTGGAGCAGTCAGTTATCTGATACGATATATAAGTATATGATCCATTAATCCAAGAGAATTTCGATCAAATGCGGTGTGTTATCCAGTTAATACTTGCGTTCACATGGCGCTAAATATGTGTATAGGTATGTGTCACGAAATAATTCAAGCCAAATGCGTGCCATTGATTGAATGAACAATCAAAATGCGATCTAGGATTGCGGAAAATTATAGTCCAAATCCACTGTAAATTTTTGGCGTCTTTCTTTTCTATGTGATCACGAAAATCAGCGATCCCAAGTAAAACAGGCAGTGGCCAAGTAGTATACAATTTTAGGGGGCAGTTTGTGATATAAAATAGCTTGTAAAGTCAAGGGAATCAGGGAGAAAAAGTGGAAATCAATGTCTAGTTGAGTAATAATAATAGTTTGTTTTCAGATGACAGTCTGTTGTATGTGGCGTGCCAGCTTACAGGCAACATTGAATTGTTACAGAAGATGCAGTCTTCGCTGTAGTAAGTATTGCTTACATTAACTGAATATTTCACAGGCTGATGTGCATCTACGTTTCTTCGTGGCTATACTTAATGGTGATTATTATTTTAACATACATTACACAGAATCATTTAAATGCTGCTGGTGCTTGTTAAATAATTGTGATAACTGATTGTGGATTGAGTTACTTGGTTAGGTCTACAAACTAATCAATATTGCGATTATGCGGTGAATGTTCGCATGTGGGGATGGTTCCCGGTGAACTTAAGGAAGCTCTAAAAAGTGTTAGAAGATCCGAAGACATTTCATCCAGTAATCGCTTGAAAGAACATTCCCGAATCTCAACGTGTAGCTTCCCGATTGGAAAAAATGCTAGAAACCGCCGCATGCAGACTGGATGATTGTGATGATTTTCTTCATACTAACACACCACATATGAACACTGGATGGAATAAGATTCTTTTCCACTCGTCTTCTGTCTTCTAACTTGTGACTTCGAGGGTTCAAGCATACTAGTTCTCAAGTTGTACGCAGTATAGCAAAAATTCCCATCCTAAATATCACATCGCACTAATCGACAATTTTATGCGATGAAGGCATACGAAAACACACATTAGTGAAGATAATTATCTTACTATGTTGCGTAGCTCAAACACTTGCTCAGTGTAGATCACTAGTTTGTTCGATCTGTATAGGTGATGGATGGACTATTCAAGCTAGACGAAAATGGCGTAAATTGCGGTTAATGCCTGACGAAAATTATCTTTTCTTCGTAACCTGGTGATATGGCCACTTTGAAGACCCTATAGTACAAACAACGTTTAACATAAATTTATTATTAAGAATATTTATAAGAAACAGAGTAAGATTACTGCCACTTGTATCTGTCCAAGTTGTGCAACTATTTAGTGTGTGTTGTTTCTCCTTGCTATTGAAGAGGATCGATGAACCGTTTGTTGTTCAGAGACCCGACTGTTGGATGATTTGGCTAGGTCTCAGTGACATTTCACTGACCTGACAGACTTAATAGGACTAATCTGAATTACTGTTTCCGCTTAGGCAGCACTAGTCATGTAGTGTAGAGGAATAGAACATAGGTTTACACAGTCAAAATCTGTGAAATTTACCTTTATAGATGCAATCCCTAATATTACCAAATGAGAACGAGATACTTAAAATCAAAAGAAAAAAATTTTGCATGTGTGAAAAAATATAGAAGGTGCAAAAAGAGTGAAACTCACAGGAAGATCTTCAAAACTTCAAATTATTGGCTCACCAATGAAGACCCACGAACTTCAGAAAAAGAACTGTTTCCTATCGAAATTTTCCCGAAATAGGATATTGCTTCCTTGATTGTTGCTCATTATCCCATGTTAATGATTGCCTATGAATTGACTTGCGCTGCTTATTGTTTGCCTGAGGTATTTGTTTGATCAACGAATCACTATCGGCGATTAGAAGGGCAAATAAATGTTAACATTTTCGAAATTGGTGTTAGTATATATATATATATAATAATGGATTATATATATATATATATAATCCATTATTACTAGTACTGCTTATCCTGTGAAAAGGAATTGTTCCAAGATATTTTAAAAACATACTGTACTGGTGATGTATTGAGCATCGCTGTATTAGTGATGTAATTATGGCCCACATTGACAATCTGAGATTTATGAAAATATTTACAGCCAGACTCTCGACTACAAAACATGAAATCAGATAATTCACATATCTTCATTCTTCGTCCATACAGACACATTATTCGTGCTCTTCTATGGATAATCGACTTAAAGTGTATGACAATATAACTCAAACAAATCAAGGAGAAGACTAAAAAGAACATTACCTGAGTAAACGAGGAAGAGAAAAAGGGAAAACGCACCAGGAAATCCTTTCTATCTCATACCGTAAACAAATATTGTGTTTTTTCCTCTTTTGTTGCCCTGGGTCAGAAATATAGCTGAATCAAAATCGAATTGTCTACTTAGGTGGATATTAGGGCAAAAGACAAACTATTCGCTATTAGCGCAGTAATATTGCCAACACAGGGTGATGAAAAGAGGGAAATGTTCCATTTTTCCTTACGCCGGGCTAAAAATGAGACTTTTTGGTGCGTTCCCTTGTATTTTCTCAGTGTTCGTTTTTATTTTCCCTCTTTGGCTTGCTTTGGCTATAGCCTTGATGTACATCAAAAAATTATTTGAATAATTACTTACTTTGGTTACAGAATCTAACGAGTAGAGTATCTAGGCCAATGTTCTAAAATAAGTTTAAGTCAGTCTTCAGTAATAAGGATAGTAGGTTGATGAACCTGTGTTAATCCCGACGGACTGCCCTTCAGTTAAGGTCCAGCTTCTCTTTGAGAATATTCACTGATGAAGTTGATACCACTTTTCGGGTAAGGCGTCCTAGTCATTGACTACTCGATGAGAAAAACGGGACCCCACTTTAAGCTTGTTAGATCGCGGTTTGTGAACCTTCTTGCTATGACCTCGAAGATTATTAGTGCCGGAGGGAGAAAACAGATAAGACATATTGACACCCAAATCATAGTTAAAGATACGAAATGCCAGTATAAGGTCACCTCGCGTCCTACGGTACGATAAGGTGAAAAGTTTAGGCGTTTTAAGCGCTCATAGTAAGGAGTTTAGAAAGATCCTTCACTAATTCTGTTCTCACAGGCTGAACACGGTCAAGTGAGTTGGTGTCCTTTATCAGACATGGACTAGTTGCTTGAATACAGTACTCTAAGTGTGGTCTTACATAGGTAGGATATAAAATTCGAAACATTTCCTTGTCAAAACATTTGAATGCTAGGCGAAGTGACCATAACTCACGATAACCTTTAGCAGCAGCTGCGTTGCAATGTGTAATTGTTTTCAAGTCATGACCTGTTGTTACTCCTAAGTTTTTATGTTCTTGAACGCGTGGAAGAGATGTACCATCAATGTTATAATGATAACTATTACCGTGTCCGATGTGCATGAACACACTCTTGCTAGAATTAACTTCTAAGCCCCAACCTCAAGCGCATCTAACTAATTCATCTATGTCAGCTTGAAGATCCAAACAATCAGTTTCACTTCATATTGTTCTCCGGATTTTCGCATCATCCGCAAACAATAATTTCGACGACTTAGGCAACAGCGGTAATTCAATAACGTGGAGAAGGAAAAATAGAAAGCCTAAGATGGTGCCCTGGGGTACACTAGAATCGAAAAAGTTTGAGATAGTTAGAAAATATATCAACGGTAGTGTCATAAAGCATTAACTATTGGAAGGATCCAAATTTATTTAATTTTGTATTTCAGAAAGTGGGATTTTAGACGTAATGCTTTTGTCTTTACATCTGAGAGATATAGGTCAGATTCGGATGAGGAAGTTCAATAGCAGTTCACATGAGCAAGCAAGTGATAGCTACTCTTTGTTGGAATTAAAGACAACCAACAACTTCTATGACCGCTTCTCTTCAAGAACCGAAGTACATATCATGACTGATGCTTTTAATTAATCATAATATGGCATCGTCGAGACTTGATCAGCGATATCTTCCACTTTTGCTGGGACGATGATAAGAAACACAAAGTCCAAGTGTGTATAATCTTAAGGCTTTATGCAAACAATGCTCACTAAAAGCTGCTTCAGTTTGTGCAAACTATTTAAGTAGTCTTTAGCTCATGGGATTTTCAATAGTTGCAGTGGCTAACAGGATCCACCGGTTTTCATACTGAATTGACGATAACAATATGCTATAGTGAGAAAATCACTTGTATTATGTTCAACCAGAAATCGGATAATTTCAGCTTAACAGTATAGATGCTGTAAATTTGGGCTAGAAAATGGTACGATTTCAACATATTTTGCTCCAGATATCTATTCTAAACCAACATTGACCGTTATTAGCTATTGAGCGCAGTTAATTTGAATTAAAAATCTAAAAATTGTAGGGGCTTTCACACTGTTTATGCTATCATTATTCTTGTGATCAAGTTTTCAATCTTATGATATACATGCATTAATACATGGTTCCCATCAAATTTAAGAATATCGGATGTTTAAGCACCTTCTATGTTATGGTGTTATTATGTGGATTGATTTATATACTTAGTTGGAAGTCTAGTATGTTGTCTTACCCTTCTTTTTACAGTTGATATTTTTATATACGATCACTCAAACGTCTTCCACGTTCTATCGTTCACTTTTTACACTGATCTACTGATCAGTGCATACTGTATCACGTTTTTTCGCTACAGCTGCTGTTGGTATTTTCATTTTGAAATTTGTGTCATGCAATAATGCGAGTGCCAAAAATAACTTATTTACAAAAGCAATTTTTTGTCATACTTAGCTACGAGAACTCCGTCATGACTGAAATAACTCCCATTTTCATTATTCTCAGATTAAGCTTCGTTATAAAGAAAAAATATTCATCAGTTTAACTTTACACATCATGGAGACAGAATATTACTCTATCTTATGCTTTGATGGCGTCGAACGAACATTCAAGTGTCAGTCCACTCAGACACGTGAAGAGGATATGTATATACCTTTTGAAGTTGACTCAGATAGTAGATGAGCAGCATTGCAATAAAATTTGTGAATAATTTATTTAGTAGTTGCTGTTACAAGTGAAGGAACTGAAGATATAGATATTCTGGGTGACGAATACACAGAAAATCGAGAAGAGAACGAAATTATTGATTTCGATAATATGAGTATGTTCATTCATATTAGATGAATTCTTTCTTCCAGGAAAATCTGTATCGTTTCGCAAAACTCCAGTCGAACTCATTGCTCCGGCTAAATATGTGGACGATGAATATGGAGTGGAAAGTGCACCAGAGTCGTCTTCTGATAAGGAAGAAGTAAGTCTATTAGACATATCAGCAAGAAAACCGATAAATAATCAAGGGAGTTGTTGGATTTATTTCGTTCAGCAGATATTCTATCAGAACTGTAAACACGGTACTGACAACTTTATCGGTTTCAGTATTGCGTATCGTATCGAAATGAATAGAAAATTATGTGTCTCAGTCACACTAATATGGTATGATATTGTCCTTCAACTGGAAGGTCACACGCAACAAGGACAGTTTACAGACACATAAGACGAGGTTGATGTGGTGGGCGTTTAAGCAGCAATTTGATTCGTTAGCAATGGTCATAACCAATAAGAGTATCTAAGAATTGACGTTCATTTCTTAGCTTAACAGTTGAAAGCAGTTGCCAAAAGATTTTAACCTTTATTTCATACTTGTTTGTATATATTAGCAAGGTGAATCTATATTCGGTAAACTGTTGAAAATGACTGATTCGCTCAACAAATCCAGTTTAAAATTATTTGACCTTCCTATCTTTGAAAACAAATTCTTTTATGACAATGGTAGGTTTTTTATTGATACATATAGAGATAAACTAGGGGGTCTTAGTAGTGAATTGAAAATTAAAAATTCTGGCCAACACACACTATGTCACCGATGAATTAACATGAAAAAAATAAAAACTATTTTTTCAATCCAGATATTTATTGCGTATAAGTAATTTTCTAACAATGATATACCTACCTAAATTTACATTTTAGTAAGAGATATCATGGGTAAAAAGTACACCGGTTTTCATTGATGAAGATTCTCACCATGTGTTTATAAATTAGTCTATAATAGCTTATAATGTTCCAGAATCAGTAAAGGGTACGCTAGCAATTAAGCTAATTCATGGTATATACCAGTGGAGATATATAGTTAATAAACATAACTCATGTACCATTTCGAACTTCTTAGAGACCGATAGGTCCTGGGTTCGAATCTCGCGGGGGACGGGATCGTGGATGCGCACTGCTGAGGAGTCCCATACTAGGACGGAACGGCCGTCCAGTGCTTCCAGGTTTCCAAAAGTGGTCTAACAATTGATTCATGATCTCAATCAAATAACTTAACAATCTCCACAATCCCCATACTGATTCTTAGATTTTATTGACTATCTGATCTCTAGTCTTTCCTTGACGTCATAATGATAAATAAATTCCTATATCTGGTTTAATCCCTTGTCAGTAGCCCTGAGTGAACACATCTATAACTAAGCTAAAAATTTCCTGATACACAGGATTATCATGTAGATTAAAAATGTTAACTAATTAACATCTTATCTATATCTGTCTATTGTTCTTCATAGAAAATATTGCCCAATTAGTACTCTTATAGTAAACAAGAACACGTATCGGGACGATTGAATGTATTTTAATACAAAATTACAGAACATCTTGGTGAAATCTGAGAATCATACAGTAAATACTTCATTTGCAAAATGTTAATCAATTGCTTCAAACTTGACTGTTCCTTCGACAAATGTCAGTCAATCGTCTCACACTTCATTGTTCTTTCGATTCCACATTAACCATACTTTGTTCTCGTTCCCTTTGATCTTCTACTGCCAGGCATTTCACTTTCGATTCATGATACATACTACTTATATCTGTCAAGATGAGTAGCACACATCACACTCTTGAAGGACGATGGCAACATAGAATTAATTTTCTTTTTATGACATGTACGATTAAGTTAAAGGCATTTGTTCTGTATTTCTTATAATTTACAGCTTACCGTTAATCCCAGAATAAAGTTTAAATTATTGTTAACCATTTCATTTTGGCCGTAATGTTTACAAAGTCTTATTTAGCATACATACATACAAATTCTTACAACCATTTAAGGACTGTTTTTTTAAGCAATTTGAAGTGAATACGTAACCGAAATATATACGTTTGATCAATTAGTACACAACAAAGTGTAGTTCAGTAGTTACAAATTTGAATCAGATGTACATAGTTAGTGATGTTCTTTGAATTCAGTTTTAATTTGTATAGTTTTTCTATTTCCTGTGTATGTTTACTTTTATTCCAAGCTATTATTTATATTGTCTTAATGGCAAAATCAGTTACAAACATCTGAACTGCCAACAAATTAAACGATCATGTGATTATTGTTTTGCACAAAATATCTAATCAAAGTAGTAGAACCATTGGTTATGTCAGTTAACAAATAAATAATCAAGGTTAAATGGACATGAAAGTTATCGAAACAATCTAATATTATTCTTTTGTTAATTGTTTCAAAACTAAACACATGATTGTTCTAATGAGATCCATTCGGCAAAGGTGTAGTATAGGCATTAGATTAAATGATTCTTGAAATAGTCATGTGATTATAAAACCACTTTTCAGACAATGGATAGTTTGTATGTATCAAAGGTATTTCAGAACGAAAGAGAAACATCTTGGAGTTGAATAGTTTTATTGGTTTTACTAGACTGATAACCAATTAACTAATCTTAATATTGTAGAAATATAAGTAAATAATCTAATTATTCTGATTGTCATTATGTATCACACTAAAGTTTTCTTTCTGGTAAGCAAAAATAGTTTTATGTAAAATGTACCATCACTTACAAAATCTTGATAAACAAATCTTTTAATAAGTTATGGTCATGAATTTATAAGTGAACCACCATTGTCATCAAGTTGATATGGAGAATTTGTGCGTAAAAATGATTATCTATTTATTCGTTAGTTTATTAAAAATAAGGTGAATAAAAATAGAAACTGACCCATTCATATATAATGTAAAATCTGTACATGTTATACGTTTATTCTGTTATAACAAATAGAGTTTTTCTTAATAATGGCGAGACTATAATTTATGGACGAACCAATCAGATTTACGATAATAGGTCTTAGATTTTGGCGTGAATTTCATTCACCCATTTGGCTAAATAAAATCCTGGCATTATAGTTTATATCAGTTCGTGATGAAAACCCTAAATCTAATTCCTAACCCTAACTATCAACTATAAATCATAATCCTTATTCTTCAAACTGATTTATAACCCTTATTTAGCCCTAGTAAGTAGGTAAACACACTCAAAGGTCTCACCAAACATTCATTTACACAATCTCGGAGTGTTTTTCACCATTTCCTTGTCTTTATACCATGCTATACCATATTTTTTCGTTTTACAGATTTGTTATGCTTTAATTAATTAGT